TGATAGAATATCGACATTATCACATACTTTGACAAAGATCCACGATATCAGCATGTTGCACGTCCTCTTTTGTCAAAATTCTAAATCAGAAATTTTTATACTCGTGGCACTTGTATTTGATACCATATTTCCATCCTTCCAAGGCATGGTTCTGAGTCAACACATTGCAGTTGGACCAACGGCACCGTATTACCTCTGGCTTGCGAGGATGTCCTATCTTATATACATGAATTCATTTACTTTGTTTGATCACACTGAAAATTGAACAAATATATGTACAATGTACCGTGGTACATGTTTCTGTTTTAAATTTTTCCTAGATGGATTAGTTGTGAAAATTCTTAAAAAGGCTAAAATGAAATATTTTTGCGGCCGATTTGATGCTTTGCATCAATTTAAACTTTTAAACTTTGTCATTTTTCAACGGTGGTCAATTTTTTTTTATATAGGACTCACAAATAAAATAATGACCCCAGGGTCTCTTTTTCTACAAAAAATGAATTTATTCTACGGGTGTCGTTGAAAAATGACCCCCGGTCATTATTCGATGGGTGTCATTATTCGTCTTTTCACCGGCCACTAAAAATAAGTTGGTGTTACGTGGGATTCAACTCTTTGCTCGACTATCTGATATTATTTTAATAATTTAACAAAGTCTTCATAATTAGTACATTGCATTAATAGGGTTATTCTCTTTATATAAGGTATAATTTTTATTTTAATAGGTCTATTCATAGGAAGTTCTGTTCTGGAATTTTGTTAACAAGAAAATTTTGGCAGTAGATTTTATTATACAGTGTGTTTTAGTCAATATTTTTATTATTCAGTATGATTTAGTCAATGTTTGAATGAAAAATTTGTAAGAATAGGTACTTTCTGAGAAAAAAAAATTGATGAGAAGAACTTTACTCCTGAAAAGGAATAATGTATGTTGAACTACATTATCACTAGATACCTCTGGCCTTAGTTCCTTTCAAACAGTAATTTACAACATATCTTTTATGCTTCCAGACGGGCACTGTTGCGCTAACCGATTGTAACGTGATGGATTAGGACTCTGGAATGATACGCCATAAATTCTCAGTCTACATAAGGCTCTTCAGTCTGACGGTCTGGCAGTTCTGAGGTGAATATCATTGGAGCCAGAGAAGGTTTTTGTAATTCTTTATTATTACAATTATGACGTATTTTTTCATTTACTTAAAATTTCGGTAAAATTGATAGGTACGCGAACTTCTATGCTGTATTCATCTTTTCCCAAGGTTGTGTCATGTTGTAAATTTTGAATTTACCGCGTGGCAGTAAATACAAAATTTACAACATGTTGTAAATTTTGTATTTACTGCCACCCGGTAAATTCAAAATTTACAACATGACAGTTGTCAAATGTGATAAAATTCATGTATTTGTGACTAGTTCAAATAATGTTAATTTGCATGTATATTGACCTTAATTCTCTTTTTAAAATATAGTTTCTAGCTTCCTTGGTGAATATGCAGTCCTGTAAGGTTATTATATGTCTTGGGCTCCTTGCTGTTGGTAAGTCTTCTTTAACTTTGCTCTATCCAACTTCAGTCCTAAATCCGTTATTTAACCTTCCAGAAACCGAAGTTTACAAATATAATGTTAAAACAAAATGAACAGCTGGATATCTGCCATAACCATTTTGTTGAAATTAAAATTCCGATGATCATTCCAAAATTTAGAATAAATCGAGTTCATGTTGTACTCTGATAGAAATCTTTTATTTAAAATGCCAAAAAAAAAAATAAATAAATAAATAAAGTCTTGAATTTTATCATTTACCTATTTTTCACAAATTGTTCATGTATGAAGAAACAGTTCATTTACCGTATCAATATATTTTATTTTTTCTTTAATTATTCCAGGATTTCGCCAGGCTCTAGCAGCCTATGGCGGAGGGACCTGCACCATACCCCAGGCCGGTAGCCCAGGGGCCACGACTGTTTGTACTGGAACTGCAAACGGATTCTGTTTGGTTGATACTTTCACCACTGCGGGTGCTCCTCAACTCACGTCCGCCGTTGCTGCTGGGAGATGTGTCTGTTATTATGGATACACTGGTACAAATTGTCAAAGTGAGTGTTTTTAACTTCATAGAACATTTTGATTTTAAGTCCATTACAAAAGCTTATTTTCTCTGAAATAAAACGTTTATCAATTATTTATCAAGAACACCTGTGCTTTTAGCTGTTGATTCTACGGCCACAACGTCGTCAACGACTTCTTCAACCGGAACTGGTAACGCCATTGCAGCACTGGGACTAGGGCTTGCTGCAGCCTGGGCACTCAGTCAGGGGCTCGGGGGAGGGCAGAATGCACTTGGTATCGGATCTGGTTCGGCACAGAGTGCACGGGAAGCCTACTACCTTCAACAAGCTATGGGAGGAGGAGGGGGTTATGGTTATGGTTATGGCAAATAAAAGGCAGCGAACGATTAGTGAATAACATATAGACCTTGACAGGATTCAATTGGATGTGCGGCATTTTCAGCATTGCTCTATCAATCAATTGTCAATCATGGAAAAGTTGATTTTCTTCAGTTGAGTATGTTGTTTGTCAAAATATATTGTAAAAAGATGAATTTAGATTTGTTTGAGGTTTTTTAAACTCAGACTTGTGGATTACAATACTTTTTTTCCTCTGAAATATATTTATTATATATTTCCAAGAAAAATTACGGATAGCTTATCCTCAGTAAATTATCATTTAATTTAAAAAAAAGTCTCAATAAGGCTTTAAATTGAAAACTTTTCATGGAACAATTTTCATCATATGCATCTTATTATACCTCAAGGTTCTTTGAAGTCCTAGAGAGGGACCTGTAAAAAGTTTACTTTCGTACCCTATAAAAATAAGAAATAATAATTTTAGGGAATAGGATTTCCTTGAATTTAGGCTTGATACCAATGCTCACTAGCATGATATGATATCAAAAGCGATTTGTGATGTCTTGCAATGACTGCACAAGATTTTTACACTATATTTTATATTGTAATTGAAGAAAATAGGAAACCTAGCTAGAATAGCAAATACGTAAGTATAATTTTCTCCAAATCTTTGATACCAATATTTTTTTTTAACCTGAAATATATTTGTTGATCAAATACATAGTTAATTTTTCTATTCACTTTTTCTGAATATATATTGCAGATTCGAAAATTTCCCTATATAATATGATGAATTATAATACTCTTAATTATTAACATTGAAGATATACTATGGGTAAGTATACATTACTTTGAGAATTCAGAGATAGTTTTGTGAGCATGGTCATAACTTAACTGCTGATTTTGAAAAACAGACTATCTTAAAATGCATGTCATACTTTAAGAAACAAGGACCAACTGGTTACATTAAAAAAAATTCGAAAAAGGCAAAAATATGATACTCAATTTAATATAAAAGCAATTAACAAAAATGGTAAAAAAAAAAACATTTCAGAAAAAAAATTCAGCGATTTATCGTATGAGAAAACTATAACGACAATAGATTTTCCGAAAAATGTAGAAAGGTTAAGATAACGAAGAAAAATCAATGTAAAGACAATTAAACAAATTAATGAAATAGGTATAAATCAAGGACCCATGGGAATTTCAGGGGTATAGGGTCGGTTGTCAAGGTGGAGTCAGCATGCGCCGTTACCACCATGTATTGATTAGGTAGGTAGAACTTTCCATAGTCAAATGAAGTATAAAATGAAAGTCATAACAATTGCTTTGAAATTTATGAAATGCTGACTTTTAACTGAGGTCGTTGAAATCCCTGTAACATCGGCTTATCAGTGAGTTGTCTCACCTTAGAAATTGATCACGGTCAGAGCAAATTCTTGAATACCGTATAAGCTGCAAGATATTCCTTTTCTTATTGTGAAGGAGATTTTGAAAAATTCTGTTCTCACGCAATACAAAAGCAGGTGAGCTAATGAAGGAGAACAGTTAGTACCCACAGTTTATTGGAAAACATTCCCCGAAGAATGCATAATGTTTTCAATGAGTATATCAAGCTGTGTGTTTTGTTATTTAGAGTACTTGTGTGTACAATGTAAAAAAAAGGGAGATTACGAACAGTATTCAAGATCAAAAGTCGATAAAATAATACAAAACAGGAGCAAAGCAAACTAGGTTCCCAAAACATTGTAAACCAATAAAAAGCTCAAAGCCATCCTATTTGTTACACAGTTTTGTAAGTAAGTCATTATTGTCTAAAGTTGGTAAAACATCCAAATTTGAATCAGATATGGCAGAATATATGGTGGGTTCTTTCAATTCACAGGGATATATCGAATATGAAGGTAAGTTGTGAAAATAACAAACGGTGTTTATCATTAATCCAGTCAATCACATGAATCGTGAACAGGACAAACCACTGGGAACATCAGAGGTGGGATGAGGTGCCTGGGAGAGGTAAGCATTCCCTGTGGACTGGTGTAACCTCTCGTGAGTTGTGAGTTCTATATAATAGTGATCAGAGAGACAGATCAAATAGCCCTGTGACTCAATCATGTAGACGGTTGGGTTAAAAATAAATAATATTTAAAAGATGGAAAAGTATCAAACAATATGTCATACGAAATACGACTTGTTTCTAGACGTTGTCAAATGTTAATACGTTGTCGATATAGCTCTAAATGTGTTTAAGGTCATATCAAGTGTAAATAAATTCCTCTTTTATAGAAGTTTTGAATAAATTTTGCTTCACAGAAATACGAATAATTCAAATATTAAAGGAGTACAAAGTTAGAAAACAAGTAATTATGTAGATGAACAATCACAAGGTGTTTTTGAATTGAACATATTTTATTAACAAAGTCAAAAGGATCAGACACAAGTTCAAAAACTTAGTTTTCGCCTCATACAAAATTTTGTAAAATTGCCAAAATAAAAAAAAAACCCAAAAAATCAATACATATGGTCTACTATATATACACAGTGGAGATAGAAAGAAAATAAGATCTTCTTTACATGTACAAATATAATTTGAATTGGTAAAAATATGCTTACTAAGTATTTGAAAAACGACCCTATTCATTTAATAGGGTTTGAATAATCTTGAAAAGTTCAGCATTTTGTTCAAAAGTAAGAGAATCATTGCCCCATAGCATTGAATGTACGTGTACATCTATAACAAATAAATAATTAAATGACAATGATAGCTTATTCATTAAGGAATACCTTGCTTTTACATAATCAAAAAAAACAAACAAAAAAACACAAAAAAAAAAACAAACAAACAAACAAACAAGCAAAAACCATTGGTATGTGTCTTCTAGTTGTCCAAAAGAACAATTAGGACTGGTTATTAGGTTACAGCGATATACTAGTAAGTCATAATTCAAAATATAATGATGTCTTAATCTTGTATGAATTATGTTCAAAAACCTTTTTTCCAAATGAAAGAAATATTTCTGAGGATTTACAACACTGTTGTGTAGACATTTCTTTTTATTCCCCCGCTTGAAAAGCGGGAGGATATATAGTAATCGGGATGTCTGTCCGTCCGTCCGTCTGTCTGTACGTCTGCTACGCTTAGGGTGCCCATCTTTTATAATCAATTCCTGTCAAACCACTGCATGAAATTTGATGTCACTTTCACAGAATCTTTACTTCTTAATGCCATTGTGCACCAGCTATTCTACTTTTTGATCCGACACATATTTTGGGTTTCCCAGAGCAAAACATGGACAATGCCATTATATTCATATGGGAGGTGGGGGGGGGGGTTGTCATTTAGTGAGCTCATTGCTCACAGTACCTCTAGTTTAAATAGAAGTTGCATCCTTTAAAGTTTTAAGTCAAACAAAATTACATTTTCTAACAATATCAAAAATGAACGATTTATCATAGTATTCTAATCTGTATTCTGGCAAAGAATAATTTAAGGAATTCCTGGTAGTGTAACCTGAGATAACAGACGGAAAGCGTTACAGACAGACAGAAAGACAAACGGACGGACGGACAGACCCAAATTAATATCCCCCACTTTTAAAGCGGGGGACAACAAAGACCGAAAGACATTTTATTGTTTATATTTACATCTGTATAAAAAAATATACTCAAGGTAAAATCAATATGTTAAAGCGACAATACGGCTGCAAATCGTGTGCTTTTTCATTCAAATTTACCCAATATATCATTCAGGAATAAGGTAAAAAGTTGAATTAAGCATTTGAGAAAAATAAATATTCCCTCCTCATACAAAATTAACGTAATTACATGTAGAATCTGCCGGAACAACTTAGATCTGTTTACTTGTACCACGTGAATTCTAAAGTGGCACGTGGATACAATGTAGGGTTTACAATTATAATGGAACATTAAGTAAAATCAATTCTGAGAATCAAAATATCTTAACTCTCCGGTGAATTAATAATACTTTTAAAACATATTAGTCTGCATTCAGACGAATTTAACATGATTACGTACAAATGTTGACGTTTTGTGTATTGGGGTGCAGGAAAGGAAAATCCACCAAATCATACGTCATCGCGGCAAAATGTCAAGCATAATACCTTTGTAGTTCCAGTACAATTTGCTCTTCAAATGGCAATAAATTTTATATGTCATAAGTGCATTTTAACGTTGAGTTAACACTGATTTTTTTTTCTTTGAAAGCCATGGAGATACGAGAAATGATAGCATGTATCAACTTGTAGGGTAAAACCTTCGCGAGCCCTACGTGAATGTCGCCGAGATCCCGTTTCTTCTTCATCCAATGATTATATAAATCTCCCAACTAAATTTTGTCAACAAAGTTGCTTTTTAATTTCAAGCCCTATTTTTGGCTTTGCTTTTCATTTTGGTCGACTTTGTCAATGTAGCACGTCTACCATCGGACATTTCGCTTATTTATACTGCCATTTTGGTTTCAAAGATAATTCGGTCCAATATGCTTCGTTCGGATGTCAACTACGAGAGAACTTGATAGAGGAGAGATTAATTTTTTGAAATCTTCCATTTTTTGCAATTGAGGTAAGAATTTGGAAAAATTATTCAAGAATCGAGCGCACCTTTTTGTGCGCAATAAATATACAGTTTTTTCAATGGGTGGCACTGTAGCTCTCCGGTCTATCAATATACATGTACATGTATATATTTTCGGAGAGCTACAGATCTGCAGCTATCTCATACCATGCTGTTTTGTTTATGAAAACTATACGCATGCTCGATAGCATGGAATGTGGAACCTCGAACACGTTGCGATGTATATATTTATGGACCATAAATAATTATTAATTTTAATGAAATAATCAGAATTATTTACTTATGAAATTTGTAATTTTCTGAAAGTTTATACATTTATGAGTATGAAAAAAATTCCAAATCCTATAGGAAAATTTTAACAAGTCTGTTTTTGAAGAGATGCGCCGTATTGTCACTTTAAAAAAGTACTTTATGATAGACGTATAGTAGTGTGTCCGTGTATTCATAATAACTAACGGAACAAGCATTTGTAATGAACAACGGGGCACCGGGTGAC